TCTGTTAAGGAGAGAGTTCCAGGATTTTGATGCAGCAAAACTGAAGGAATGGTGGTATCTTACCAAGTCAGCTGGTGAGGGTTTGAAGGGAAACTTGGTGGTTTATCTGCCACACTTGTCCTCCGAGATGGTAGTTGTCATGAGTTAGAAAGGTGCTGTGTAAGGAGCCTGGTGAATTTCTGTAATGTGCCTTGAAGATGGTACATGTGGATGTTACTCGGTGTCAGTGGTGGAATGTCTGAGGAGTTATAAATTGTACTGAACATTGTGCAATAATTATTGAACATCCCCATTTCTGACTTTATGATGGATGAAAGATAATTGATAAAACAGCTGAAAATGGCTTGGCCTAGCAGATAACCCTGCAGAGATGCCCTGGAGCTGACTCCAACTACCTCAACCATTTCCCTTGTGCCAGGTATGATTATAACTAGCAGAGATTTCCCACTGAGTCGAGTTTTGCTCAGGCTTCCTGATAGCACATTCATTCAAAATGCATTCTTGATATTGATGTCAGGCAACCTCACTTCACCTTTAGAATTCAACTCCTTTGTCCATGTTTGAACTAACACTGTAATGAGGTCAGGAACTCCGTGGCCCTGGCAGAACCCACACTGAACACCAATTGTCAAACTATTGTTAAGTAATTGCTGTTTTACAGCATTGTTGATGACACCTTCCATTATTATCTTATCCTGCAAGAGAGAAGAAATTACATGAATGAACGTGGAGAAAAGTCCTGGTTGATGTATCTGTCACAGTTGAAGCTTACATCGTCTACAAACTGAGAGATATGGTTCTGGGACTTGCAACATTACTAGGTGTGTGTGTATGCACGTGTGTGGTGAAACTATGAATGTGAGGTTGTGCTGAATAGATATGGTTTGTAGGTAAGCTAAGGGGCTGTGTTGAATTGAATCAACAATATCCAAAGGTAGTGGTTCAGTTGCAAGGATAGAGCATCTGAAAGTGAGTTCATTGATCTCCAACTTCATTGACCAACAGGGCGCAACCAGTATCAAGCTGGTACAGTGGAAATTCTTGGATTTATTTGATCATGCATGGAATGTGGGTATCGTTGTTTTCTCTTGAGAAAGTTGCATTGAATGACCTTCGTAAACTGCTTTAATCCAAGCGCTAGCCATTCATGTCTTACCAATGTGACAGAATTCTTTGAGGAAATGACAAAGTTGATAGATGAGGGAAGGGCTGCGGATGTCATATACATGGACTTCAGTAAGGCGTTTGATAAGGTTCCCCATGGTAGGCTGATGGAGAAAGTGAAGTCGCATGGGGTCCAGGGTGTACTAGCTAGATGGATAGAGAACTGGCTGGGCAACAGGAGACAGAGAGTTGTAGCGGAAGGGAGTTTCTCAAGATGGAGAACTGTGACCAGTGGTGTTCCACAGGGATCCGTGTTGGGACCACTGTTGTTTGTGATATACATAAACGATCTGGAGGAAGATATAGATGGTCTGATTAGCAAGTTTGCAGATGACACTAAGATTGGTGGAGTAGTAGATAGTGAAGGGGACTGTCGGAGAACGCAGCAGACTATAGATAGATTGGAGAGTTGGGCAGAAAAATGGCAGATGGAGTTCAATCCAGGCAAATGCCAGGTGATGCATTTTGGAAGATCCAATTCAAGAGCGAACGATATGGTAAATGGAAAAGCCCTGGGGAAAATTGATGCACAGAGAGATCTGGGTGTTCAGGTCCATTGTACCCTGAAGGTGGCAACGCAGGTGGATAGAGTGGTCAAGAAGGCATAAGGCATGCTTTCATTCATCGGACAGGGTATTGAGTACAAGAGTTGGCAGGTCATGTTATAGTTGTATAGGACTTTGGTTCGACCACATTTGGAATACTGCGTACAGTTCTGGTCGCCACATTACCAAAAGGATGTGGATGCTTTGGAGATGGTGCAGAGGAGGTTCACCAGGATGTTGCCTGGGATGCAGGGCGCTAGCTATGAAGAGAGGTTGAGTAGATTAGGATTATTTACATTAGAAAGACGGAGGTTGAGGGGGGACCTGATTGAGGTCTACAAAATCATGAGAGGTATAGACAGGGTGGATAGCAAGAAGCTTTTTCCCAGAGTCGGGGACTCAATTACTCGGGATCACGATTTCAAGGTGAGAGGGGAAAAGTTTAAGGGAGATATGCATGGAAAGTTCTTTATGCAGAGGGTGCCTGGAACGCGTTGCCAGCGGAGGTGGTAGAGGCAGGCACCATAGCGTCATTTAAGATGTATCGAGACAGATACATGAATGGGCAGGGAGCAGAGGGATACAGATCCTTGGAAAATAGGCGACAGTTTTAGATAGAGGATCTGGATCGGCGCAGGCTTGGAGGACCGAAGGGCCTGTTCCTGTGCTGTAATTTTCTTTGTTCTTTGTCCTTGATGTGGAGATGCCGATGTTGGACTGGGGTGGGCAAAGTTGGAAATCTTGCCCACCCCAACAAGCTTATTTGAATTCACAAGCTTTTGGAGCACTGCTTCTGCGTCAGGTGAAGGAGCAACACTCCGACTTCACTGACGAAGAAACAGCGCACCAAAAGCTTGTGATTTCAAATAAACCTGTTGGCCTATAACCTGGTGTCATGTGACTTCTGACTTTATCCAAGTGATGAACTACTCTTACAATGCTTTTAAGTTAAAGAAGGAAAAAGCTAGTAAAATTTGGAAATGACAGTACTAGTCTGGACAATATTAAACTCCAATTGGACCAGTACCATCATTTCCAGCTTTTGGTGTTTTCTATAGGAGTTTAACCCACCGGATGAATGGAATTTAGCTCAGTCAAGATTAATGTGTGAAATTGAGCAGATCTTCATCAGCAAGTGCTGATGTTACCAACCAAGTGCCCAATGCCCTAGTCCTTTTAGGAGGGCCTGAGTTTGGAAACTGATGTTAAAATAAAACATGTTATGTTGCTACACTGTAGCTGATATACACTGCAAGGACTGTGCACTGGTGAGGAAGTGAGTGTTTAAGACATTGGATGAGAAGCTGATACAGCCAGCTGCTTTGCCCTGTAAGGAGTCAAACGTCTTGAATGTTGTTGAAATTGACCCCCTGCAATTTTTATTCGATGATATTCCTGACTTTGAGCATTGTAGCTGGACAACCCTTGGATACTGGAGATACAAATTGCGCACAATGAAAATGTAGTGATTGTAACTTGGTCAGCCGGGGTAGAATATGAGTTCCCTGATTAGGGTGTTAACCTGGTCTAATCAGGGAGTTCTGGCTGACAGATGTAAATTGGAGTGCCAGAGGTTCTGTTCATTCTCACAGATGGCTCTGAGGATGCCGGGTCAGTGTCAAGAACTATGCACATGTAAATGAAAGGTGACTTGGTGACAGCATACTGGCCTATAGGGAGTTATTTCAGTGGCGACGAAAGAAGAAAATATGCGCCTGAAGAAATTTGCTCGCAACAGTCATCTTTGAGTTGGGGTAAGCATTCCTGGCATCGTGCTGTTATTTGGGAAGCCTGACTCATTCGAACCTGCTGTTGGAGACTGGGCCTAGCATGTGGAAAGAATGTGCTATTTTTTCCAGGCAAATGACACTGGGGCAGATGAAAAGCCATGAGTAATTCTCCTGACAGCTATTGTACCTGCAGCTTTTTCGGTTGTTAGGACCCTAACTTTCCCTGAGGCACCAGATAGTAAAACTTTTCAAGAGTTGATGGATTTAGTTAAGGAATATTTGACATCTCAAGCTTCCCCTAATTCCGAGACATAATCGGTTTTATTTGGCAGTTCAAGAACTGGGCGAGTCCACATTGGGATTTGTGACAAGGGTAAGATAACTGGCAGAGGCATGGAACATTGGTCTAACCCTTAATGAGATACGAAGAGGCCGTTTGATATGTGGGATTAATGATGTAACCATGCAAAAGCACTGACAAGCTGAACCCAAATGACTTCAAACAGGAACTACAACTGGCTTTGTCATTAGAAATGCAGCAAGTGGAGCTTTGAGTTTCAGGAAATGCAAATAGAAGTGGACATTATTCCCAGGCTGAATGAGTTTGGGGGATACCACTTGAATGAAGGCAACTGTATAGACTCACTCAGGACATATTCTGAAGAGAGGGACTCCAGGTTAGCCCACAGCAAACCTCGACCAAACAGCTAACATTTTCTTCAGATTGAGGCCAGCAAGCCATTGTAGATGTTGCCAGTATGTAGATGCGAGATAGCAAAAGCACCCCACTCGTTCTGAACTGAGTAACAGAACTCATAGGCCAATATCCACAGAGTTGCTAATGGGGAGAAAACATCTGCACCGGGTTAAATCTGATCTTCCTGGAGCTGTGGGGGGAGCATGAAACGGCATCAAGTACACCAAGGCCAGACACAAGACTCTGTTAAGCGAGAGAGAGAGTTTACTTCAGGGGATGAAGTTTGGTACCGAAACCACAGAAATGGCCCTGCATGGGTAAGAGACATGGTCCACACGAAGTCAGGTCCTATGATATACGAAGTTTGGATAGGTGAAGTGGTCCTGAACATATGGACCACTTGAAAGATGCAAACTCACAAAAGGGGCAGGGGCAAAACATAGCCGGCCCCTCAGGTAACCAGAAAGGCTGTTGAAGCCAGTGGGTTCTTCCTCCTCCATCCAGCATTGAAGAAACCTCGGAGTCGGAGATGGACACAGCAGATTTTGCAGCGTCAACACCTTTACTGCCTGAAAAAAAGGGTAAATTTCTTTCAAGACGCTTTGGGCACAAGAGGCACGCTGTGGTCTGGTACATGTTGTCCGTATCGGAGGCTGCGATGGAGGAACCGGACCCAGTGCAAAAATGCACCAACACAGGCTACAAGGAAAAAACAGGCCTACGTCCCAGAATTTACTGGGGAGAGATGTGGTGATAATAATGTCATCAGTTCTGCTCACTCTGAGACTGGCTCTGTGGATTGGACTCGTGCCAAATAATAGGCTTGTGTAAATAAAGGGTGACTCGGTGACAGGATGCCGGCCTCTGCGGAGTTATTTCAGAAAGATTCAGAGATAAATGATCACCAGGTCAGCAATTGGCCGCAGTTGCTCTTCAGTCACTGGCATGGGTTTGAGATTGGTTTTGGGACGCGGCGAGATGTGAGTTGACATATATTCACACAGAGAGATAAACTTCGACAGAAAATTTATTCCACCTCGAAATCCAGTGCCAGGTTTTGTTTGTGATGCTAAAGTTCACGAACTTTTTTTTCAGTGCATGATGGGCTAAAGTGTAGGAAACAGCATGGCGGGGCATTTTACACTCACTCAGGTAAAAGCCGGATCTTATTATTTAAACCACCAAGGCTGTTCGTTTGAAATTATTTATGTTAGAAAGAGTGAAAAAAAAAATGGGTTGGGGGGTTGAAGAAGTACGGCTTTTGTGACTGAGAGGAAATGAATTGTTATGCAGTTGGAGTTCCATTGCACTAGGGCCTGTGAGGCAGCAAGAGCCGGGATAAAGGGAACAGTTTGTGGGCGTAGTTTGTGTGAAAGTGCGATTTCGTTTAGGATTTGGAGGATTTGCTGGGCCTCCTTTATTTCTGGGTAAACTCAAGCGGCCGGGAGACTATTGGATGCAGTAGATCGGGCGGTCGCTTTATTACGGTTGGGAGGGTGGACCCATGTAGTATTTAAATTGCACCCGGAACATACACTGATGTAACTTGTAAACAAATGTCTCAAAACTAAGGGAAACGGCATATATTCGCATTTGGAGCTGATGTCCATTTACCAGTATGTTTCTTTCCTGTAGTATTTCTAATTACATAAGAACTAGGGGTAGGCCATCCGGCCCCCCGAGCCTCCCCCGCTATTCCATAAGATCATGGCTGATCTTTGTGAGACTCAGCTCCACTTACCCGCCCGCACACCATTACCCTTAATTCCTTTACTGTTCAAAAATTTATCTAGCCTTGCCTTAAACAAGTTCAGCGAGGCAGCTTCAACCGCTTCACTGGGCAGGGAATTCCACAGATCCACAACCCTTTGGGTGAAAAAGTTCCTCCTGACCTCAGTCTTACATCTGCTTCCCTTTATTTTGAGGCTATGCCTCCTCGTCCGAGTTTCACCTACTAGTGGAAACAACCTCCCTGCCTCCATATCTTATCTATTCCCTTCATAATCTTATATGTTTCTGTAAGATCTCCCCTCATTCTTCTGAATTCCAATGACTATAATCCCAGCCTACTCAGTCTTTCCTTGTCATCCAATCCTTTCAACTCTGAAATTACACTTAGCCTTTCCTGTCCGGCCTTATTTCCACACAACTAGTGCATAATGCACCTTGGTACTTTTATCTTTCTCAAACATTTTATGGTGCATAGATTACCTGAAAAATCTAACAACATGGAATGGGTACGGTACATGAAGAGGCCATTTGGTCGATCATGTATGTGCCAACTCTCTGCAAGAGCAACACTGTTAGCCACGTGTCTTGTTTGTTTCTCCCTATGGGCCTGCACATTTTTGGTCTGCAGGTAATTATTCAGTTTCATGTTGAAAGCCATGACTGAATCTGCCTTCATCACATTCCGTAGGAGACACTTAACAATTAGTCACCTGTAGCCCTAGGCTAAACTGCAGGTTATCTCCAAGGAACCCTGGCCCCCAGAGATGTGATATACAGGTCCATCAGTGTGTTGACATGCCCTGGTGTCCATTAACCAGGTGTAGGCCCTCTAAAACATGCTTTCAGGTGAGCAAATTGCCTGAAAAAATCATAAAATAGAATCTTGCCTTGACGTTCATCAACTAAGTATAGGCTCTGCATCAGTGGTACCCACTGCTTTGTGTGTCTGGTTCAGGAGAATCAAAAGTACTGGAGTGGAGTCTAGTAGGTAGTTGTACATGTTCTCGCCTTTCTTCTGGATTTAGTCTATACTGTTGGGAGGCAATTGCAGATGTTGGGCAAGTCCATGTCTTTATATCCTACTCAGGCTCTGCAGCCAAAAAAAAACAAATGAAGACTTCCTTCTCTCTCTTTACTTGTGGCACTTGTAGCAAACCTTTGCCTTTCTAGAACTGGTATGTTCCACCATTGAAAGAAATGCTGCTGCTAGTGTCATTTGTCCTCACCAGAGTTCTTTTTGCAGATGGAAAGATGTAAATCTGACACTCAATGCATGATAGATCTCAAACACTTGTGTAAACATAACTTTTCCTCATATTGCCTTTGGTTGTATTGCCATCTAACTGGTTCTCAACCCTACCACTAATGGAATAGTTTCTCTCTCAATTGTTCAAACCCCCATGATTTTGAGCGCTACTCTCAGATCTCTTTAAGAAGAGCAACCCAGGCTTCTCCCAAGAATTTATTTTTGTCACTGAAGTCTCTCACCTTGGGAACTGTTCTTGTGATTTCCTTTTTGGTACCCTCTCTGGTGCTTTCACATTCTGCCTATAATGTGGTGCCCAGAACTGGACACTTTTCCAGTTGAGGTTGAACCAGTGTTCTATAAAAGTTTGTGACCTTTTTGTTTGCTTTTGTGTTCTAAGACCCGGATCTTGTATACCTTTATAACAAATCCTCAATTTGCTTTGCTCCCTTCAATGATTTGTGCATTTAAACTTCCAGGTTTCCCTTGTTGTTCCATCTCCCTTCGAATTGAATCCTATATTTTATATAGCCTCATTTTTTCCCCTCCAAAAAATGTAACGCTTCACATTTCGTTACATTAAATTTCATTGGTTATGTGTTTGTCCATTTCACCAGCCTCACCATGTCCTTTTAAAGTATTTTTTCTGTCCTGCTTACAGTTGTTAACACTTCCAACTTTTGTAATGTGTGTATTTTTGAAATTGTGCCTCAACAAGTCCAGTTAAATTAACATATAATCAAGAAAAGCAGTAGTCTTAAAATATGAACATATAACATGACTTCTGTTTTCTTCTGCAATTTTAAAACACATGTAATCTTGAGATATCATATTATACTGCTTCTGGGAAGACCAGAAAAGCCCCTGAATGCTGCATGTAGGACACACAAGTTTTGGGTGCTGAGCTTATATTGTTGAAAATTATGACAGAAGTATTTTGTGAAAATTGAAATTTGTCTCGGCTTCACTTTGGTTATATTTTCTCTGTGTACGTCTTTTTTTTCTCCTCGTTGGCCTGTATTCCTGTTACTGTCACTATAATTGCCACTCTTTTTTTGCCTTTTGAGTCTATTTGATGCATATGCTGATGTTTCATTATGTTACAATGTCATTATGTCCTGAAAGGCAGAGTATAATTGTTTTAAGGACTGCCCCACCCATTTAGCTGCAACTGTGATAGCTAAATGTCACATTATGCTAACACAATAGACCTGAGGCAATTTGATAAGAGAATACCTGCTCACTTCGAATCCCTAAAGGTCTTGTTGCACAGTTGGAAGCCCAAGTTCAAGTCCCAGTTACTCCAGAGGTGTGTAATAGCATTTCTGAAGGAGTCTATTAGAACATATCTACCCCGTTACCACTTTAAGAGCTCACGTGGTGCAATGGCAGTTTCCTTCTTGACTAGGAATCCTGGGTTCCAGTTACCACCTTCTCCATAAGTGTGTCACTTAATCTCTGAACAGGTTGAGTTTTAAATAATGAATCATATAGTTGTGACATTGAATCACGAATCACAACAAATAAAACTTGCATTTATATAGCACCTTTCATGACCACTGGACGTCTCAAGCACTTACAGCCAATTAAGTGCTTCTACAAATATGGTCAACACTGTAACATAGGAGCCAGAAGAGCATATTTAAACACAGCAAGTATCCACAAATATTAATGTGCTAATGACCAGATGTTACTTGCTGTGATGTTGATTGAGGGGTAGAGATAATTTCCTTGCTCTTTGATCTTTTATGCCCAGCTGAGAGTCTTTAGTTTGATGTGTCATCTGAAAATATAGCACCTCTGACAGAGATACTGACACATCACTGACTTGCCTAGATTGTTGAACCCACAACCTGTTAGACTTGGGTGAGAGTGGCAGTCATTGCACCACATCTGACTTTCAGGCTGCTGTGAAAATGTGCGATGCAAAGATGTCAGCCAGTTGTTTTCTAGGAACATAGGAGTAGGACATTCAGCTCTGTGAGCCCGTTCCGTTTTTTAAGGTCATGGCTGATCATCTACTTCAACCCATTTTCCTACAGTATCCCCATTTCACCATTGATGTCATCAGTATGTAGAAATGTCAGTATGTAAACATGTCAATGCCTGGGTTTCTGCATCTGTTAAGATAGGGAATTCCAAAAAGGCAGTACCCTCAGTGAAGAAATTCCAGCTTATTTCAGTCCTAAATGGTTTAGACTTATTTTGAGACTGTGTTGCCTGGTTCTAGGCCCCCCCAGGCAGGAGAAATATCCTTTCTGCATCTTTCTGTCTCACCATATATATGTATGTATACATGAAATGTGCATTTTTCTTTTATTTTTGTGACTTTACTCAATTAAGCCTCCAGAATGTACATCTATATTTTTGAGGCTCAACAGTTTGTTAGTGAAAGTTGCTTTCCAGATTCTTGCTGTACAGTATGTTGCGATGCAGTCCTGACTCAGCATTAACAATCAGTAAACCATACAATCTGTTGTCTTTGTAGATTGATGGCCAATATTTCAGCTGGCAAGGTGAGCCAGGATTGTGTTGCTGGAGCGAGACGTGTTTCCTGAACATCTTTGTTGCAAAATAATCTGGTAGTTTTCTTTAAGTGTCTCATTTATTAAAATGACGATGCAGGATTGGAAAAATTAGTTCGTCCATAAGACATAGGAGCAGGAATTCGGCTGTTCAGCCTAACGTGTCTGCTCCAGCATTTAGTCACAGCTGATAAGTTTCTCAACCCCATTCTCCCACTTTCTCCCAGTAACTTTTGATCCCCTTGACAATCAAGAACCTATGTATCTCTGTCTTAAATATGCTCTATGATCTGGCCTCCACAGCCTTCTGTGGCAATGAATTCCATAGATTCACCACTCTCTGGCTGAAGACGTTTCTCCTGATCTCCATTCTGAAGGGTCTTCCCTTTACTCTAAAGCTGTGACCTCGAGTCCTAGTCTCTCCTGCTAATGGAAACATTTTCCCAATATCCACTTTGTCCAGGCCGTTCAGTATTGTGTAAATTTCAATTAGATCCCCCGACATCCTTCTAAACTCCATTGAGTATAGACCCAAAGTCCTCAGAAGTTTCTCAATTGTTTAGCCTTTCATTCATGCGATCATTCTCGTGAGCCTCTGCTGGACCTGCTCCAGGACCAGTACATCCTTCCTGAGGTATGGGGCCCACAGT